AACACGAAAATAACATCCCAATGAGGCAATTGATTCAAATGCATGTTTCTTCGTTCTGTAATGATTGTATTCCAGTCATCCCTGTCCTCCTTCAACCCTGCATTGCCTTTCCTTTTTTGAGAACACCAACATCCCATGTTCCCTCCACCCCTCCTTACGTTCCTCCGTGAAGCGAGGCTGAGGTTGTACATGTTCTGTTGTTGTCGTTTGCCCCTTCTTCGCTGGGGCCGTTCCCGCCTCCTTCAGGGTCCCCTTCCTCCTATTAGCTTGTGCTGCTGGAGCCGTATCCGGTACTGAAACGCACGACCCCGCCTTGCGGCGTCGCCTCTTGTAGTTCAAGTGCTGTCGAGTACAACAACGGCACGCGCTCCCGCAGGTCCACCGCTTCCACCTCGTCCTCCTCCAGCTCCACCGCGCGGTCGCGACGCCGCTTGTACGCGGAGCGGAGAAAGAGGCCCACCGCCAGCACGAGGTACATTAGCCCCGCATTACGGCACGCCCTTGCCTTCTCGTCCAAGTCCCACTCGTTGATTACGGCCACAATAGCAAAGGACTTAATACGAATGTGCATCAGCCACGCCACGAAAAACGCAGTCACTGCATTGAGGCAAGAAAAGGCTATGTACGCGTTCACCTTCCCCGACATCGGCTGTAAGGAGATGTAACTTCCACGCAAAAAAAAAAAAAACAATGACAAAAAAAAAGACAAGGTGAAACGCGGGGCTGAACATCACCCAAAACTCCAGGCTTGCCAATATGTTACTAGTTGTTGTTTTTCTTGCACCCCATCGTCGCGCTCTTCTTTTCTTCCCACACTTCACCTCCTCTCTGCCCGGCCTTGGCGAGTGAGCGACGCCAGTACCAAGTGCACCAGTGACAGGAGAACGATACGCACCGGCCAGGGGGCGCCACTGCCCCACCAGCGCCGTTGCATGGACGCGTAATGCGTGCATGGGTGTCTCCTTACGCATCCCCCCTGTAAACGAGCATGTGGCGGCGCCAACACCAACAACAAACAGCACAGCTTACACGTGAAGCTTCGTCGCTTTATCCGGCAACCTCCGTTCCTTCCTTGGCATTTTAGTCATCCCCCCACCCACCCCACCGCCACCGCCTGGTCCCCGATCTGCCTCGCAAAAACTCACAAGCGAAGGCAGACACACGTGTCACATAAGCCCAGAGGGCAGAGCATGGAGAGGCAAAAGGTTAAAAGAAACGCCAGAGAGAATAATAATAATCCCGTGGGCTGCCTCCAAGAAGCACAAACACACAGAAAGAAAAACAACAACAACAACAACAACTCAGGCACACAAACTAGCATTCTAGCAACTCCTCCCCTTCGGAATCGCTATGCTTGAACTGGAGAAGTCGATGCTGCTCACGCGGCACGACTTTGCGACAATTCCGGTGAGCGTGAAACCGAAGTCGACAGGAAATCACTTGACACTTACCGCGCAACAGGCTCCAGAACGGTGCGAAAAGAATGAGAAAGAGAAAAACTATGAAAAAAAGTCCAGCACGACGACAAGCCTTTGCCTTGACGCGCAAGTCCCAGCCACGCTCTAATGCCGGGATGCGAAAGACCACTAACTCCGTTGAATCCATCATCCACGCAAATAAAAAGGCACACACCGCATTAAGCGTGCAGAACGCCAACAGCGTCGCTCGCAGGACCGAGAATGCACACCACTGACACGATGCAATGGCTGGCCCAGCCCTGCTAAACATAGCTATGGGTGACAGGCTAGGATTCTATTTCCCAGTACCCCACACACTGGAAAAAAGTAAAAAGAAGAAAAAAAAAGGTGGATGGGGAAGGAGGAGGAGAGACCATTGCACAGACACGAGGTGTGCCAACAGATACAGAGAAGTAGAGATCCAAGAAAAAAAAAACGATCTTTTTTTTTTGTGTGTCTCTCTGGTGCTGTGTTATTGTGGAGTATTTTACTGCAAACACCCCACTCTGCACAGTGAGCAAGATAGTGTGAGCGTGAAAGAGCGTCCTTGTTGCCAGCATAGATTACATTGCATGAGCAGTGACAGCACCGACACATGCAGGCGGCACCGAGGACGTAGTAGTAGTAAACAACGTTAGATTCAGACAAGAGGAGAGCACCCCGACCAGCTTCCCCAGGCGATGCCGCACGAATGCACGCCACGCAGTTTCACCCCCACTCGCACCAAGAGTTTGCGGCGCCGTTTCTTCTGCGGTTGGCTTGCAGGTTGTGGGTCCTGTGCGCCCATGGCGGACGCCCCCTCCGACGCGTTGACAACCTCCACGCGGAAGCGAATTCCATCCTCGTCACTCCACGCCCCCCAGATGAGTCAGTTGCAGCCCATCACCAGCCCCAAGTTCGAGCGTTCCAGTGCCGTGGAGCAGCTGGTTCACTCGCGCTGCAGAGTCCTGGGGGTCCCAGGCCGGCACCCACAGACGAGGCTCCTCGTGCTCCCGAGAGATCAGAGAAACACAAAGGCTCCTTTGCCCGTCCCGCACTAATAGCGCCGCATCACCGAACCTCCGCAGCAACACAGCATCCCATCCGGCGAAACTGGGGCGCAGAGCGATCGAGACATTGGAGCCCACAGATGGCACCTTCCAAAACAAAAACACAATAAAATGAGGACGCAAAAAAAAAAGGCAGAAAGCCCCAAATATGTGTATATACATATATATATATATATATCTCATTGATACGCACAAGCCAGTCACAGGAGAAAGAGAGAGAGAAGCGACAAGAATCGGGAATCAGTGGTAGAAAAAAAAAATAACAAAAAATATACATGCATCATATATATATATACCCTCAATGCAGCACATCTCCATCTTCGTTCGTTTTTTTTTCTTCGTCTTTCTGCCTTGTGAGTCTCCAGAAGGATCTCTCAGAGAAACAGAAACCAAAACGAAGACAAAAAAAAAAAAAAACGTAACTCGTTCAGTCAATCCTATACATTTCCACCGCAAGCACCATACTCGCCGCCCAATAAAGTGATAACAGCAAACAATAACAACAACATGTTCTCTCCAACCATTCAGAACAACACGCACCCCACCAGCAGTGCAAGTGTCGACCGGTAAAATTTACCGAGACAGATTTTTTTAAAAGAAAAAGAAAAAAAAAACAAGATTGCCTGTTGTTCTTCTCTTTCTTTTTCCTCGTTCCCCCGTACCTCCTCTCCTTTTGTCCTTCTTTTACACTCTGCGCAAGAAAGTAGGGAAGAACAATAAAAAAAAATCAATGTGTAACGGAAAGGTGATTGGGCCCTTTAAAAGCATGAAACCGTCTGCTAGAGACCTGATCTACCGGCACTTTTGAATTCCCAAGCCGTGGCTGTGCCTCCCTAGATTGATGACCTTCCACCTGTCCCCTGTAAAATCGTGAAGACTGCAGCGTTGGTGTCGGCTTAAACGGGACGAGAGCGCCATACGGCTTTGGGACACCCAATTCATCATCGGGTATGTAAGCATTAGGCCGCTGCTCTGCCGTAGTCACTAATCCCGCAGAGGCCGCTGTCAGCTCCGCTTCTACCTCCTTTCGACGTCGAGAGATGCTTGCATGCCGCCGCTTAGCCTCCACCTCCCGCAGATAGCGCTCCTCCGCCTCAAGAAATGGGGCCTCGCCTTGTTCCATCAGTCGCTCCGCCTCTTCAACAAGGCCCTCTAGTCGCTGCACGTCTTGTTGGAGCTGAATAGCAGAGGCTTGAAAAACGGAGAGCTCAGAAACTGTTGCCATCATCTGCCGCGTTTTGGCCCGGATGCTGCTGTGGTGGGAATTCACCTGCTTCGCAAGCGCCAGCGTAAATTCGCGCCCGGTCTTAGCCTGATCGCTGAGACGAGAGGAGAGCTCTGTCACCTCCTCTAGAATTAAATCCTTCTCTCGAATACGTTCGTTAATGGCATTCACTCGCTCCTCTAGTTCCTGGCAACGCTGTTGCAGGTGTAAAAACTCATCAGAGGGGCCATCCACGCCGCTGCGGATACGGGGCGTCAGCACAGAAGCCTGCGTTGTCCCCTTTACAGACTGCATCGTGTTCTCCGTCTCGGCAGGAAAATCCCTTCCTGCTGTTGTTCGTTTAATGAGACGCCATCGATAGGGATTTTTGGGGTTTGTCAGATCGTTTTCAAGGACTTCAACCTTCCACCGCTCGTCGTCAATATCTTCTGTCATCTGCTCCAGCTGCTCCTCCAACTCTTTTATTTTCGGAACCGACTGCCTCACCACCTCCACCTCGCGGTAAAGATCGGCAAGTTTGATTCGCAGTGTGCGTATTTCCTCTTCCCGGGCGTTATTCATGAGCATACCATCGTTAATGACCTTTTCCTGCGCATTCACCCGCTCATACAGGACACAAAGCTCATCGTTACGGTCAAAGAGTTGAACTCCGGCATAGTTGCGGCTCTCAATCACGTCATGGTATCTCCTGCTTCACATCCTCCATCTCCACTTCGAGGTCCGCAATCTGCGCATTTACGCGTCGCACCTGATTCTTGACATTGCGTTCGTCATCACACACCTTCTCTAGGCTCTTGCGATGCTTATTTTTCTCCATGCGAAGATTTTTACACAGCTGACGAAGTTCCTGCAAATGACGCTTCTTCTTTGCCAATTCCGTTTCCTTGAGCGCCGACTCACGGCAAAGGACGACAAGTTCGTTTTCAAGGATTGTCTTCTTCTCAGACATTTCGGTCATTTTCTGCGTGATAGCTTGAATTTGCGCCGCCTTGTGACTACGCTCCGCCTTCACCTTCTGAAATACTTCAATCATGTTGCTTAAGCGCTGCTCCAACTCTTCTTTCCGCTTACGCACATCAGCCACGTACATCCCCTTCATACGCAGCTCATTCTTTCCCATTTTTATTCGGCTCTTCTCCCTTCCGCAATCTCGGTTGAGTTCCTGCCGCCGAACAACCAGTGTTTGGGTCTCTCGACGTTTTACTTCCTCCTGTGAGACGCGCTCTGCAATCTCGCTCTTGATGGCCGCGATGTCTTCCTGTACAGCCTCTGCCTTGGCGACAAACTCCTGCTCACGGCCCTGTTCCTTTAGAAACGCTCGATTTCGCTGGTCCAGCTCTCGCTGAGCCTCTTCAAGGCGTTGAAGATTATGCTTGCGTTTGGCTTGTACCCGCTCCATCTTTTTTTTGGCGTCCGCAATATTTTCCTTGATTCCATTCTTCTCCCTAATAATATTGGCAACTACATGCTCCAACTCCAAGTACTCCATGCCTACGCGTTCTTTTTCACGACGCACGTGCTCCAACTCCCCAGCCTCTTTGTCCTGCGCGATGTTTGTGGTCTTGATTAGCTGTTCCAGCTGCGCAATGCGTTGCTGATACCCTTGACGTGCCTCCAGCTCCATTTCTAGTGAGGTGTTCAGGGTCGCAAGTGTGGAGCGTTTGGAGTCTAACTGCGCCCTAAGTTTCTGTAAATTAGCCAGCGCCTGGGCATAATCCGTGCTACGTGTATTTTTCTTCAGTTCAAGTTTTGCAATCATGTCGCTTTGAACCTGGAGTCGCTCATCGAGGGCATGCATTTCCATCCGGGCGGCCTCGTAAGTTTTTACGACCAGCTCCGTCTGTCTAAGTGCGCGCTCAGGGGCTTTCTCGACATTAGAGAACTGTTTTGCGGCATCCGCCATGATTGTGTTCCAGTGCGTCAACTGTTCCTTGCACTCCGCCTCCTGCAGCAGTGTTTCGTCGCGCTTTGAGCCAATGGTTTGCATCTCCGTCGTCATCTCCTCAATCTCCTTCCCAAGCGCAGCCATCTCCGCCCGAATGGCCTCCATGCGGGGGAGCAAACGCGCCTCTTCGGCGGCGAGGGCGTCCTCGCGCTCAAGCAGCATGGTGTGCTTCTTCCGGTCAAACTCCAGCACCTCCACCTGAAGAATGCTTTCCCGCTCTTGGGCATCCGACAACTCCTTCTCCGCGTCTAGCAGCAGCTTCTTCAGTCGCTGGATCTCTGCATCGTCCTCCACGGCACTGTTGCCCCTTGCCACGATTTGCTCCTTTTGGGAGTCCAGTTCCCTCCGTAGCTGGCGAGCACGCTTCAGCAGGAAGTTGTCCCGCTTGTATATCGCCAGCACACGGTTGTGAAGTTCTTTAAACTTCTGCTTCAGGTAGTCAGAGCGCTCCTCGAGCAGCCGCCCCTCCTCTACAAGGGTGTTGAGGATCACAACCGCCGACGACTGCGACACATCCGTGGCATCCCCCAGCAGCTGTGCCGCGTCCGTCATTTACCCAGCAAGCCGGAGTTCCCCACACACGCACTCACAAAACGCCAACTACACTACAACTACGACTACCTTCCGCGTTCCCACTAATGTGAAGTGCTACGAAACACAGCAAGGGGCCACGAATGAAGAACAACAACAACAACAACCTGCAGCAGCAGCACTGCCTCAAAAGGCATAATAATTACACGTCAATGAATGAACGGGATTGCGAAAACAAGGGAGTTTAGGCGTGCTTCGTTCCGTGGAAAAATAAAAATGCATTTGTTGCATTGACAGCGAGGCCGTAAACGTTATTTCGAGGATCCTTTTTTATTGCAAAAGGGACGCTGCTTGCACATCGTAAGGGAGACGTGCGCAGGGAGCCCTTTCCCCAAAGCAACCGTTCCCGCAGCACCAATCCGATTTTCATTCAGGTTCAAAAAGAAGGTGGGGAGGCGACGCGAGGAAGTTTCCTGAAACGTGACACCCTCGTCGTCCTCCGGCATCCGGGGCAGAGGACGCTGCCGTAAAAACGGCGCCACAGCAATGGCGCCGCTATCGTCGACGGATATCCCCTTTAAAACTACAGCGCGGATGCGATCATTGTGGCGTAAGGCAGCAAGAAGAAACAACGCCCCACGGTTTCCGATACGACGGTTGTAGCTTAAATCCAGCACCTCCAAAGCCGACGACGCACCACTTGACGGGGCGTCGTCGCCGCGCAGCTCGAGCAGCTGCGTCAGCGTCGCCACGTCGTTCTCATCCAAGTCGTTACGCGACAAATCAATAAGACGCAATGTACCCCTATGATGATGCAACTTGGGAAAGAAGAGGTGAAGCCCCGTGGCCCGATCGCAGCCGAGTTGCAGGCGAAGCTGACGCAACGGGTTTTTCATATAAGAGCCATCAAAATAGGCCGCAGCCCGCTCACATTCCTCACGCCCAAAACGGCATTTGAAGATTTCAAGTACGTCTGACCGCGGCAACGCGTGCATGATTCGGTAAATGGGATCTGAGAGCGGCACCGGCACACATCTATTCCCCTCCTGCTGCACGCCCTTCGTGGCGGCCTCATTCGGCGCGACCACACGGGACTCGGAGACGGCGGCTACGTCAAAAGTCTCATCGTCCCCCACGGCAACCGTTGCGGTAGCTGCGACCGCCACCTCGGAGGGACTCTCGGTTTCAGTTCTGTCGGCAGGTCGTTTTACACCGCCCGGGCGCCGGCCCGTGTCCCGCAGCCGGTAACTTTTATCATTGCCGCCTTTCCCACCCATGCGCATCTGTCACGCGACGGTCCGTCGGAAGAATGTTTCTGTTTCCTCTGGACCACGGAGGCCAAACACAAACCAGACAAATAAGGAATGGGACACAGAAATAAAAAAAAAAGGCAAATGGGCAAGAACAACTCCCTCACAGTCTAAAAAAAGAAAAGAAAAACGCCAATTAGATAAAGAGGTGTAACAAGATAGTCGCGTCAACACAAAAGAAAAAAACATAAAAAAACTACGCATCCTTCGATATATAGCGTAATCCCCTCGCATTATGTAAGCTCTTCATGGATGTGGACAGACTACTTCCGGTCCCCTACCTACCACCATGGTAGGGATGCACACCAGAAATTTTGCTCACAGAAGCCACCAGGAGTAAATCACGATAGGGCTGCGTCGCATTCACGTGACTTGCCCCACCGCTTCCACTAATATTACTACCCATAGCATTTTCAACGTCAACAAGAGAACCTCGCCGCCCTTTTTGGTAGGAAATGTTCACAGCCCAGAAACAAACCGCACCATCTGTGTGAGCTGTAGCAAAACGCCCCCCATGTATGTTCCAAGAAAGTTCTGTTACCTCTTCCATAGTAATGCTTGTTTTTGTGATAAACTGGAGTTGTGTTCCCACCGACGTCTGTGCGCCGCTGCCGCCAGCGTTCACGCCTCCTCGAGCACGTTGAAAAAACAGCAGTGTGACCTTGTAAGAAGCTACCACAGCAAGGATAAGAAAACTACGTCCCGCCCCCGGTGCCCATGCTACTTGTCGAACGCCCTTACTCCGGTCTGAGACAAGCTCCGATATGTAGGCAACTTCACCAATACTCCGACCCTCATTAGAGACAAGGAAAACACGAACTTCCCCCTCATCATCGCCCACTGCTAACCAGGTTCCTGTGTCATCCCAGGCAACACAATTGAAACCCTTTATGGCGCGGCTACGGCTACTTAATTGTCTCGTCACGCCATGGTACTCTCCGTCCGAGTACGTGCTGTGGAGAGTCCATGTGTTCTCCTCATTGACCGTTGCTTGAATAAAAATCAATATTTTGCCTTTTGCGGTTACACATGCCATGGTAAAATGGGCGGAAAAAGCCACTGAATTGCAATCTTGCGCCGCCACCTCCTCGTCTAATGACCAGCGACCATGTGAAAGCCGATAAAGCCGAACCTGTCGGCCACGGCAGACACACGCCAAGTATATTCCGTACTGCCAAGGAGCCCATGCAAGCTGAGTACAGGGGGAGCGCAGGTGATCAATGCGGACCGTGTTTTCTGCAGGGTTCCACTGCACCTGTTCCCCGTTTGCCGCCTGCACCCCCTCCAGCGGCATGTCGCGCGTAGACGCCACAAACACCTCCTTATTCGAGGTGGATACAGCAAGTAGCTTGTTGTGGTTGTTGTACTCCATCGCGAGAATCACTGCGTCATCGGCAGTGAAGTGGAAAAGCGGTCGCATCACACTCGGCAGCAAGGGGATTGCAGACGAAGACGAAAACGTAGCAGGATCCACAGCAGCCGGGGAAGCCCCATTGCAATGACCCTCCGGCGCGTGTACAAGCGACACAGGCAAAGCCGCCGCTCCCTGGGAACCACTGTTCATGGATGGTACCTGCTGCCTTTTCACGGCCGCCAGTAGCATCCATGTTTTTGAGGAAAGAGGGAGAAAAGAGAAGCGAAGCAATAAAAGAAAAGAAAAAAATGCATCAAAAGAGGTTGAAATGAGCAAAAAAAGGGGGGGGGAAACGAAGACGTACACCGAGAGAAATGAAGTAAGAAAAGAAGAAGAGGGGGTAGAGAAAGGGGGAAGCGGTGGGAGCGAGAGAGGCACCCGCTGTTAGAAAGGAAAAACATTCTCTTCCACAGACACAATCACACACACACACAGAAGGAAAACTCATTTAAGAAGCAAGGGGGAACAGTAAACTTGTGACGCTTTTGGCTGCGAGCACCCGCCGGAAGTTGAGGAGAAGCAGCGGAGATTGCTTACACTCGCGAAGGGGGAAAAAATAAAGAATTAAGGAAAACAACATAAAACAACAACAAACATCGTGACGGAACCAGTAGCAAATACCACAACTGCAACGCGGATTGTGAACTTATCACCAGTGCATTCCTGGGACCTACAATTACACAGAAAAAGAGATGCAAAAAAAAAGGAAAAAGAGAGCAAATATATACATACATATACATAAGCTCTCTCTCCTTCTCTCTCCCCAGCTTACAAATAGAAGACCAGATACGTATAGAGGAGATATGCATAATAATAATACTTTTTAAGAAGCAGAGGAATTCGCCCCTCTTGTCCTTCCCTTTTTTTTAACGCCTTTTGCCGTTTGTTACGAGGTTGGAGCGAATATATGATGGCCCTTTCGCTGCTCTCTCGGTTTATTTTCTGACATTCATCACTTCGTTTGGAAATCATCGTAATGTCTTTCGCTTTCCTCCAACCTGTTGTTTTTGTTTTTGTGCGTCATCTTGCTGTGCCCTCCGACACACCCACCCACCACACACACACGGACTGATACATAGATACATAAGGATATACACACTCACTTCCCCGTTGACTTGCCCGCAGAAAAAAAAAAAACACTTTCAGCTTCGGCATTTACCATTTTCTCTTCGTTTTTTTTTTATCTTTCGTTTTTTCCCTGTTTGCTCTCGCCTCCTGCACCTTGATTGCCTTACCCGTTACCCTCCTTGCGGGATGGGTTTCTTCTCATCCCAAGTTCCCCTATTCTCCGCCTTATATGTATTCCTTGCAAGTTTCCGTGGCGAATTGCAAAAGAAGCATTACTCCCTGGCCGCGCAGCTGGGCCGCTGGCCCCTGACAAGCACAGCGGGGTACAGGGTACTCCCACTCACCCGCCCAAAAAGAACGCATGGCAACAATTCCCGGTCCTTGGCCACCACGCATTTCAGAAGGGGGGGGGGGGGGGGAAACGAAGATACATGTCGAGCATCAACCACCCCACTGCGGTAGTCACGTTAGGTCTTCTATTCCTATTTGCCCCCACCCCCTCACCCACCGCTTGCTCTACTGCTGCTGATAACCGGATGCCCCCGTCCAAGAAAAAAAAAACTGACACGTGCACCACCTCAGAAG